AAGTACATCAGCCCACCAGCTCATGGATTAGTATTTCAATCATTTGCACAATGCACGAGGCGCGCTCAAGTGGCAGCACGTGGCTGTGTTTACGCGACAGCGACGTCGCTTTTGGCGTCTCTTAAGGCGCTGGATTGGTGTGTATTATATCGAGTGAGGGTTCGTCGCCGACGACGTAAGATTACAAGGAAACAGAGGGTAATCCGACCGAGAGTCGGCAAAGCCTTATCCCTGCTTTACCGGTCAAAGCACGTTCGGCTGCAGAGGGCCAGTACAACCCTGGCTTTAGGCCCGTGAGAACACCCAAATTGATTTTAAACCCTTTGTCTTTTGCCCATCTAACCCTCGACAGCCAGGGGGTAGAAAGCTCTTTCGAGTTCACCGGCCTTATACCACTGCTGCTACCCCTGTGTATATTATTACCAGGCAGACCCTTCAACCACATCTCGTTGGTAGAGATTTACCGGATATTTTATTTTGATAGACTTTCAGACGATTTCAAAAAAATTTTTTTGATTCGTTGTGGACAGCATTGTTGGAGCTTACTTGCTTGTGTTGTAATTATTACTTGTATACATTTTTTCAATAATTTTTATTTTCAATTGAATTCTACATAAAATATCAAGAGAGTGGGTATTTATTTGACATTTAGTAAATCACTGCAAATTAATGTCACTTCTACCAATAATTGCCGATCGTTGGGTTAGTCGTGTGATTATCTAATCAAGGCAACAATTTAAAGTTGTTAACTTTATAAAATAGATGTACGAAGCATTGAAAAATTTTTATCCTTTTACTAGCGCATCTTCATTACATTTAACCGTGAGTGTATGATTCAGGCCATCAATATACAAAACGAGTACATGCCAAAATAAACTACTAGTCAATTCGGAAGAGCCTGATTTCAGTGCCTGTATTAATACGAGCATCGAAGGTCACTCACTGTTATATATACTGAAGGCGTGGGCACTAATAATTATACAAGGCCGAATAGTAATAGCATAGCTAATGTTTTGAAGTTATAACAAAGTGATATATTTATCAGAAACATTTTTTTTTTATTACGTGGAAAATATGAACTATAATAAAAGATGTTTTTTTTTGCAACCAATAAATAGTGAAGTTTTTCACGTTTTTTGATTTTTTTCCAAACGATGGGTACAATTAGATGTTTGTTCTAAATAAATTATTCATTGTCGTTCGCAAGTGTGTACAAAAGAGTTTTGCTCCGTACGGCATTATTTTCTTAGTATGTCCAAAAGTCAAGATAGAATGTAAGAGGACAATTTATCGAGAACATTAAAAAAAAAAAAATTATAAAATCAAATTATGCTTCCATAAACTTAAAAACAAGAAGACAGAAGAAATAATTTTGGATATACTCAGAAATGGTGAGGGGAAATCCCATTGCTTTTGTAAAAGCAGAGTCCAGTTACCGAAGAATTGCCTGCGGCTAGGCAACTTTGTGTACACTGTCGAGATGGGATAAGCATTGGTTCAGGGGATATGACAGAAAATGCGATCGATGTGACTCTCTTAATTTTTTGGCAACGTATGCAAATGAAACTTGGACATCGCTGCATTCTTATTTTTAAAAAGATATGGTTGGTCTTAACTATTTTTGATTTTTCAACGATTTATAGATCTCATTAATGATTTACAGTTTGAATAACTGAGATCTGTTTTGAGTCTATGAATACTTTTAATGAGGATATCAGTTGGATTTCTCACTATTTGCAACATTTACATTGGTGTTACAATTATCAGCCAATTAAATAACTGGATTTATTAACATTATGACACTGTTTTGTCAATATTACAAAGTTAATTAAATTATTTACGCTGGTTATTAGTGAAATAAGTGCTCATGAAGCACAGAGTCCATTTTCAGAACAAACTTGGTCTAAAAAGAAATCTTAGAGTTTGATATGATTGTACATTGGATTACTGTAAAATTATCTTGAACAATTAAGCAAGCTCACAGAGCTCAGGCAGACTTTGACTTCTATCAGTGTGGATACTTACTTAATTGAATTGAATTTCATTATCTTTATTCTATTCATTTGACAAGCCAGGAAACGTCTTCATGACTATTTGTCACCGTATATCATTAATGTTAATGTTTGTGTCTATTTTTTTTAAGTGTCTTAGTCTTGGGGTAATGCATAATATGGAAATGCAAGATGTCCACTTCATTTAGTTGAAACCATTGAAAAAGCTGATACTTTAGCTGTTTTGTAAACTAACTCTTAAAACTATTTAGTATCCAAACTGAAAAATCGTTTCCAAAATCTGTATCTTTTCATCAAACTACGTTTTCTTTAGGATACTTAATGAAAAAAACGATGGAAAACTTAAAAGCATGATGCAACACTATTTTTTCATTGCTCATTACTTATAAGACGTATGCATTTTTACATGTTCATAGAAACATATCAATGCTTTATTCGAAAATGGAAGTTGAATCATAAATGTAATGGTAGCAAAGGTGAATAAAGTGAAAGAAATCATTTTATATTATAATAATGAATTTTATTACAAAAGTACATTTGACAAATGACAGCATATAGTGCAGCGCTTTACATGCGAATACTTGACCAACTCAATTTTTACTTTTTGTCTTTGAATTATAATTTTTGACAATCATGGTAGTGTACGTCCTTATTGTCTTAAATGAACTTTTTTTACAATTTTTTTTTCAAAAATTATTATATTTGTTACATAATGCATGAACATCGGACGAGTGACCGATGCAGTGACTTCAATGTAAATGTGATGAAAAGAAATTGGTCGATAAATCAAAATTTCACTTTTATCGTTAGCATTACAATAAACTTCTGCTTGAGCAAAAAAGTAATGATCATTTATATTTTATACTGATGACATGTGAAACAGAAATGACAAGTATCACACATTGCACCTTCGCTTCGATGACGATATGAATATGAAAAACGTATAAAGTACAATAACAAGGTAATAAGCGTATATAATTATCCTCATGTAAATAGTAGCGCGGTCGCTGAGGTTTCGTCTACTTCGTAAACTAGCCACCTGACGTTACCGCGCTATAAGATAATACGATAACAGATGTACATTTACTCTAGGCACGGTTAAAACTCACATAATCATACAAAACATGAAAATGAATATGAATGTTAAATTTTTTTTTAAACATTGGTTTATTTTAAGTTGCTTACAGTAAAACGAGTGAAAAGGATTAACAAACAACTAAATTTAGCTTTTGCTTCATACAAAGTGGTCAGGATTATGTTGAGAAGAAGATAACATTCAGCAGCATCGCACAAAAGGAACTATCTTAGCACATGAGGTAATTGAAAATAAAGGTATTATTCTTAAATGAATAATGTATGTATAAAAAAGCTTACATATCAAGATAACATTGTTTAATGATACGCAGTTTCTGTCATCGGTAATGTCAGTCAATCACACAGACTTACTTATACATTAATGAATAACATGACCTAAAACCCATGTGTTTTAAACATCAGTGACAACTATACACGAATATAAAGACATGCTAATTCAAAAGTAACGCTGTCGCGACAAGTTCACGATCTCTTTTGTAGCGGCGGAGCCTACTTTTTTTGGATTTCGTGTCTCCACTCGAATATAGGACTATCATACTGTTCAATGGAGCTATTTCATTAACAATTTCCGTCAATTATTAAATTATTACGGAATTGACTGAATGTATTAAAAATTGTATCAATAAAATAAATATTAGTCTTTGATATGCCAGCTCTTATGGCTTATGAATAGTAGGTTTTGTTACAGAAGCGCCATCGTCACCAAGGCTAATTTTTGGTCTAAGAGATCTGAGAAACAGGGTCCAAGAAACCAGAAGGGTAGCCCCGGTTGAAAGGCGCTTACATGCAGAACAATATTTTTCTATCAAGGGCGTAGTAAAAATCCAAATGTCATGAAAAACGCCGCGAGGTAGGAAAAACTATTAAATAATTTTCAGAAATCCAGAAGACTCTGGCCGCTGTAGTATGTGCAAAATTCGTATATTCGTCACTGAAGAAATTGCTTATGCTACATTAAAAAAAATTTCTACTGTCTCACAATTTGATAGTACGCAATTAAACATTTTACAGTTATTTTTATAAATGAGTGTTCATAAGTTCTAAAGTATTCGAAAGATCCTTTATTGGAATCATTTTCGTACGTATTATTATTAGATGATCAGTTACAGCCATGACTAAAAATTCATCAAAAAAAAAAAATAATAATAAAATAAAATAAAATAAAATAATCAGCTACATACAAAGCATTCGGAAGCATTTGTATAAAAATGTATTATGTATTAGCATTGACAAACATCATCTGGATAGCATGTACGCATAAAATTATGTAATAATACTTAGAACTAATTACAAAGAATATTTTTATGATTTTGAGTTACTCAATAAATAAAGATTACATTTTTTGAAATTTATTTTTAAAAACTTATCATTGTAAAAAACCTATCGAAGGTATGTTTAGTCTTTTTATTTTTTATTAATACCGTAACAATAAAATTCACTTACAACTTACAAAGGACTTTAACTGTTAAAAGACTATCTAGCGATCTACTGACTTATTTTAAACTAAAAATAAAAATTGAGACAGTTGAGTTGGCAAGAGAGAAATAAAAATTATTAGAAAACAAGAAAAAGAATCAGTCGTTTAGTCATGATGACTCAATGGCAATAAAATTGCAAAAAAAGTATTTCTCAAAAACATTATAGAGTTGTTGAACAAAAACCTTTACATGAATAAGCTACTTTCCGAAATAAATCGTGTACAATAATCTTGTAAAGTACACATTTACTTATTTCAATTTTTATGTATTATAAGTGTTCTCATGATTCTATAAGATAGTTCGTTAAAATATCTTATAAAATTTATTGAAATCTTCCAATTGAATTAAAATTTGTCACAGATACTCTATGATCTTGTATTTTACATTGTCTATCCTGTGAAGGCTTGAGCTTGGATGTATTTAATACATGCTTTGACAATAAGCATTTGAGAATTGTCCTATAAAGTCTTTTATTTTCTCATCACTGCATGTTTACTGATTTTCATAATGAAATAAAATCAGAGCGCGAGGAACTTCATTAGGGCGTCATAAATGAGTCTTGGATTGATTGTTCCATCGGCAGTATATCTGACTCCTCTTAATGTCCCATCATCATGACTAACAACACCATACTCCCCAACAATGAATCCATCCGGTGTTCTCTCTTCCACACGATATTTCCGGTAATTACGACCCTCTTCCACGTAACCAACTTTGTGTCCATCCTCATCGATGTTCGTAGCCTCGGTGAAAGATTGGGGCCCATGTACGTTGCCGTTGCTTCCAACACTTACAGCTTCGTCCACTTCGTAGTTTTTTTCTTCTGGCTCACCAACAGCCTGGCCATTTGTATTGTAAACCTTTGATGGCTCCCCATAAACTTTAGCTGGTTCAGAATAAACTTTTGATGGTTCAGAATACACCTGTGCTGGTTGGGAGTAGACTTTTTCTGGTCCACTATAAACTTTGGCAGGTTCACCATAAACTTTCGATGGTTCACTATAAACTTTTGAAGGTTCACCGTATACTTTAGCAGGTTCTGAGTAAACCTTGACTGGCTCACTATACACTTTTTCTGGTTCCCCATAAACTTTATCTTGTTCGCTAAAGACTTTTGGATGCTGATTGTCGTAAGCATTTCCATTTTGCCGAGTGTTATAGATTTTTGAGCGTTGGTTATACGTTGTATCATCAAAATGCCTTCCTACTTTACGTCCTTGACTTCTCAGTAAAGGTTTATGAACTTCTTGTAGTTCATGATTCACTTCTTTCGTCTCTTGATTTTGTTCTGGAAATTTATATCTTTGTTCTATAGGTTCTGAGTTGCTACTACTTCCAACCGAGTCTCTGGAATCCTGATGAATGTCTAAGGGCATTGTTTGTTGTCTGAGAATAGGTTTTGATGTGACCATAGTGACATACTGTGAGCTGGTTTTGGGAGCTCCTTCTTCAACTGAAAATTCACTCCTATTTGATTCAGAAACAATGTTATTAAGTTCTTCTGTTACTAGTTTTGCAGGCGTAGACGTAACTCCAGTAGATGTAAAGGTTACCCTTGTCTGGGATACTGTAGAAGACGACCGTTGATCAGGGGTGGCATTATTTGTCGTTGCCATTACAGGTGGAGGCCGAGTGGTTAAAAAATCATTTGAATCATAATGTTCAACTCTGACCTTATAAGGGGTCTCTTCTACAGTCGACGTAACACTTACTCCTATTACTTTTTGGTTTACAAGTTTAGCTGATTTATTAGACATTTTACTAAAGCTTAGCTTCGTAACCGGATCACTTGACTTTGCAATATATTTTGAAGATATATCACCAGGCCTATTTAAATCATCTACTATAGTCTCTAAACTGTGATGTCTATTGTCTAAGAACTTATGACTTATGGGATAGTAACGTACTCCTTCATCTCTAACTGGAGTTGTTCGAGGTCTGGCTGGTGTAGGCTTTACTGTGAGTGGCACTCGAGATATCCGGAAAATATTAGCCTCATCGTTTTTTGATTCTGCAGGAACACTGTCCATCGGAACCGTTGTATTACGTCTGAGACTTAAACGTCTTCGTGTCGGTCGCGGAGCCATAGCACCGTTAATAAAAACTGACAAAAATTCTGTTCCAGCCAAAATATCGTTTTTTTTCGCTGATACAGGTACTGGTACAGCCAAACCTTTCTCCCACGTCAACAATGCCTGCAGTAGTACCTGAAAACAAATAATCGTATCAGTACCTATGTTTTGCATTAAATTACGTATAATAGTATCCCTGTCAAATATGTTTGTGACCCAACTGAATTGTAACCCTTCTAATGCCATTTGGTTCTTTACTTGATTACAATCTAGCTTCATTTCAACGAAAGTTGTTAATACTTGGAATGAAAAAAGAAACAGATTTTTTTTCAAACATTTTGTAGTTAATAAGTAGTAGCTGTATCATTGTTAGTGTACGATGATTATTATTCAACGTATATGCAATTGTATTCAGAAACAAAATAACATGCTACGAAATTCTAGTTTTATCAATAGTTATTTACGTAACAAGTGCGGAAAAGACGATTTCCCGCACGAGTAGTGATTGACTCACACAAGTGGCCGGAGTTGACGGAAACGAGTATCAGTTGAGCACACGAGTGCGTAGCACGAGTGTGATCGCAAGGTACGAGTTACCGTCACCGGCCACGAGTGCGAGTCTATCACACGAGTGCGGGAAATCGTCCCGCACGAGTTGCGTACAAGTTTTTTTGCAATGTGCGAGGAAAATAGGTACAAAATAGGTATGAATTTTGATTTCCAGTGTGTAGCAAAATTTTTTCTGGTGTGTGGCAAAACCTTTGCCGCACACCTTTGTCGCACACTATGTCAGAAAATCAATTTTCCACACTAATACCAGTGCGGAAAACACCCATTTTTCGCACACTATTGCGAAATAGTAGTTTTCCTACGAGTTTGAAAAGTCTCTATTTGCGAGCCGAGACGTTTGCGGCCCAAGCCGAAGGCGAGGGACGTAACGAGGTTCGTAAAGGAGACTTTTTGAACGAGTTCCGGAAAACTGCTTTTTCGCCCGAGGAAGTACCAGCCTCCCAAAACCACCCGAGTGCGGAAAAATATATTTTCGAATATTGGCTATAATAAATTAGAAGCGATATTCCACTTCGTTTATTTAGGGCTTTACTTTCTCACATTCTCAGTAACATATGTGAGAGCTGTAATGTGATTCTAAAAATATGAGTATTATTATATTAATATTGAAATAAATAACAATTTATAAATCAGTAAAAAAGTAAAAAAAATTATCACTTGTCAACAACTGTGGGTGAAACTTAGCTAGTAAAAGTTGAACTGTTCCTAAATGTCTCCTTGAATCATTAATGCAGTACATTATCTCTTCTACTTTGGATTTGTCATATCATTTGGATTTGTGGAGGAGCATCCCAGAATCCTTATCATTCTCATAAGATGAACGAATGTTATATTGTTTTCTCCGTTATTTTGACCCAATAAAAATTTTGTTTAGCTTCGCTACTCTACAGCTCCCGAACGTGTATAAAGGCCCCCTTCACGCTCGACAGGAGTTTTTTTTTTAATATGTCACATTACTACAACAATTCTTTATTACGACTTTTAGTTTTCATAAATTCTAAGAAACTATGACTCCAAAACATACGAACTATATGCAAATAATTATTTTATTAGTATAAGCAAAGCGTAATTAATGAAAAAATCAATATTGTTCGCAAAAATCAACGTAATAATGGTTTTTTTCAACGTCAAGTATTCTTAAATATCACTAAGTAGTATGCAGTTACATATATGTAAAAAGATGAGGTATGAATTGACCATCATATTTTATGTAGAACATGTGAAGGCAATACTCATTCACAAGTGCAATATTGATTTACGTACAAACGCTTGAGAGATTCGAATGATAAATTAAAACTGAGAGCCAGATCGGAATTTTCACATACAACGTGTAGTATGCCTCGCTGCGCCAGAGGCAGTCCTTGCGGAGAATCATCGAGAGCCATTGGTATTTAACGTGCTTACAAGAATTGGCGAAAGGGTACCTCCCAATCTATTCAAGGTTGCAAAGCGGGCGTCATCATCGTCGCTGTACACTGCACTTGCAACTGGTTATATGCGTATTGTATACGAGCACGTTCGTGTCTTTTTGTCGACCGGATGCTAGCATATATGAAAGCGAAAGGCGAGCAGTCACGATGGCGACAAGCGATGCATTCATCTGTTGGGCGTAATTTACTTTACGATAAGAATATTTCAAAAAAATATGTTTTGTAAATGAACACTTCGGTGATGCACATTCCAAATTTGAATAAAATCACGTCTGCAGTTACAGAAAGATTCCCTTGAACGTAAACAAGTTTTTTTACGGATTCTTTTTTAAGTCCATGGGAAGTAAGTAAACACGGTCTGCACAAAATGACTTACCCTCACTGCTCTACTTGAAAGAATAATTCGAAACTTTTGTCACAACCCTTTACAAGATTTTGTACGTTAATGTTATGCTATTAAAATTTATATTTTCGAGAATTTATAACAACTTTTATTCACAACAGTTTGGATTATCCATGCCGAACAGTATTTATGCTTTTTGGCTTCGAATATAAAACACTTGAAACGTTCTTCATTTTATCTTTCTTTGTTAGGTAGGTTAAATGCATGGATACAGGAACAGTATGCGTCTATCATCGTATTATGTTTACGTAATCAAATTTATTTAATTCCATTTTACATGAACCAACTTGAATTAAATAAGATAAAATGAAAAGTAATTCTGCGGTATTCAAAGAAAATAAAACACTTGTACAAATTTACTTTTTTAGAAAATTTCTATTAACTGAATTGTTGAAAATCTTTTTATTAAATTTTCAAATAGCACCTAGCCTTCAAAGACAAGTGTAGACAAGAAAAGAATAATTATTTCTATTTATTTTTCAAGTGTAATGACATCATTATTGTAAGAAATATCTGAAAAACTTTGAATTAAACAAAGTTGTGATTATACTTCAAAAATTTTAGCGACGTTACTAACGATACTTAACTACGCAACCTATACCTACACTGAGTATAGTGGTTAGTAATTGTCCGTTCACGTATCCTCGAGCAATTCAAATTAAATTGCAACTAAGTCAGCTGGACAATCAAATGGTACTGAGCAAAGTACGAATCACCACTAGCACCAGCAGTACTAACGCAATAATAATAACAATAACAACAACAAAAACAGCAATTATTTCATAACACTTTTGTTGAAATCACGCGAACAGGCGAGACGCGCTTTTATACCATCTCTCATGACACACACTATAGCTCGCATCAGATAAACATCTCACGCTGCAAAAAATGTTGCATACTCTTACGCCGCTTCTTCATTCATTTATACCATCTCTTTTCTTCGTCCTTTTTTTACTATCTTTCTCTTACGGCTCGAGCATCAGACAATTTTTCGGCGAGAAGCCGCGCGCATTAGATTGTAGCTTTCGAATTGTAGGGTTAGCATTAGGAACGGCGTCTATGATTCATATGGTGCAAATGAGATAATGATGTGAAGAGGCGGTGAGTACGTGTGCGTTTGTTTGTGTTTTCACGTACCATCTCACGAAAAAAGGAAGGGAGAGAAGCAATAGCAAGAAGTCAGTGTTCAATGATTGTTATAAGTATTAGCAAGTTTCGTTGGGGATCAAGGAGTACTGATAAAATGCCAGGTTATTATTTCTCTGTTCAAAGAGTCTCTTGATTGAGAATTCTGGGATTAACTACAAGTAACAATGATTGTCTATTTGCAACGGCATGACATTATTAATACCACATAGAGAAAAGATCATTTACATATTCATGGGCTTCTTTAATGTACTTACACATTCCCCGTATCAACAAATACTCGAGTTAAGGTCAGTGTCACGCCCGACAATTAATTATTCTGCAAGACCTACCTAGTTCCAGACAAAAGTAACAGTGAAGGTTCAAGTTTGCTTTTCTACAACAACGTACGCTCGAATTCTCTATGTCATCTTTATGATTAACGATACGAGGTAAATTTTAGTACTCGCACACTAGCACAAAGCTTCGTCCAGATGTTATCGAACTTCGCGAAGAATTTATGGTCAGCGAAGGCGTGATTATATGCGCACGTCTGTACGTATACTAAGTGAGGGACTGTTCTTCTGGTCACTTTCTACTGTACCTGCGAGGATGCATTTGAGTGGGAAAGTAAATACACGGAATTTTTTTGTTTTTTTCTGTTGTCGATTGTACTCATGATCAATTTTCAGTCCATCATAATCTAGCAAGAATGTTGCATTTATTTTTAAAACAGATTGCGTAAATTAATTACCTGTTCGAATGAAACAGTCATCGGAGGAAGGTGTTGTGCATAAGAAACCAAAGTACCGGTTGCAAAAGCTAATAACAATGGATTTTGGTGTTAAGTTTTACTTATTTACTTTCAGAATAATAAAAAAATAATAATAACGCAAATGAAATAACATAGCTCGTGACTTTGAAAAGTGGCAGTGAAAACACTTAACTATAACATATTCTAGTGAAGCGAAGCTGTTTTCGTTCAAACAATGAACTTATAACTTGTTGGTAGATTGAAAAAAAAAATTACTAAGAAATAATAATGATCGGATTTAACAATTAGATCAGAAAAAGTCTTAAAATATTTGGAACTGACATATGAAATTCTGATAGTTTTAAAATTTTTTTATTTCAAACCAAAAACAGTCAAGAAAATATAAATACACTATTTTTTAGATTTTTAGTGATGTGAGCACACGATTATGTGAAATAAATTCAGAGTAAATCTGTCCACATAAGTAATGGATGATGCATATCAACAGAACATTTTATCATATTTTGAACATCGTTAAAATTCTGCAGAATGGAAATGGTAATGATAACTTATTAGTAATCATAATTTTTAGATATTTATACATTTCTTTGTCTTTTTTATTATTTCTTTATCTTTATTATTACCAGTCAAAAATAAGCAGACCAGAAGACTACAATAAACTAATTAATTATCATTATCTTGCATGACAACATAACTTAACGTAGGTCATGCAAAAATAAACGCATGAATTAAAATGAAAAAGCACAAGTGTATGTAAATTGTTAAACGAGTGTAGTAGTACGCCGATTGTTAAAGTTATTTGTCTTGACTGCGGAACTCTCATTTTTTTCTGAAATGACAGAGCAGAGTAGCCATTGGTTTAGAGCACGTTGCTAATCATTCAAATTACCATAATTTTGGAATCAAACGTCCACCCAAGCAAAATAAAGTTCGAGAACTAGAACAGACTTTGACTTTGAATTCCAACAAGTTGGACGAGAAAGGGACAAAAAAGTATACACATTAAACTCATGAAAAGAAATCTAAACAATCATTTAAGAAGTTGGCTTGCTGAAGTTTAGCTGAAGATGAGTATTAGTTTGTCATGAGTCTTTGGATTCAACTTGGCGTAATTAGTTTTCTATTTTTTCAGAACTTGTGTTATTCATATCATCATTTCACCAATCACCGGAATAATATGTTCTTTTGGTCTAACAAGTACCAGTGGAGTGATCTAACATTAAGTATACTTTGATAAGTAACGTACCACGGGATAGCATATAAGTTTCTTGCAAAGTGTAAAGACCTTAGCCTTGGGCTGATTTGAGTTTTTTTTTCAGTGTATCGCGTGTAACGACAAAAAATTGTTTGAAAAAATTCATTTCCAAGATAAAAGTAAATGTTTCGTATATACTGTGATCCTCAAGCGATTCTGTTTCCTTTAAAATATGACGTTTTAAACATCAATAATGCTCTGTTCTTTGCACTGCAGTTTTTCCAAGTTTCACGGTTGCTGGGACAACACGTTGATATATCGAGTTAAAAATAATCCTGTGACCCACATTTACTCTTCGTATAGAATTTATCAATTTCACCGCAATGACTTTTAAAAAACATTTTTACCAAGGTTTCAAAATCACAACTTTACCGTGTAAACAAGTGACGTACACAATACAATGTCACGCATTCGAGAGATGACAATTATTGATGATGCGAATTTGACTTGTGCAATGTTCATCCGATGACCACGACACCTTGCCCTTCGAGCCAGAATACTTTTGCATCGAAAACTCCAAAAACTTTTTTATCCATCACAGAAATACAAAAATCAAAAATCTCTTTATTTGTCATATAAATTCATTTTAACAATCACACAAATATACAAGCGTGAAGTCCCCCCCGAAAAAAATTGGTCAGCTCGTTCATACGAAGTCTTCGAATCTCATCTTTTCACTTTCTGCCTTACCCAATATTTATCTTATAATGGTCTGCAGATTTCGTTATTATGTCCGAACCTTTATTCATCGAATCCCAGAACTTTAACTGCTGCTGATGCTTGCGTGTTCAGAGAGTTTCGGTACATAAGACAGGTAGGTATAACACTTTCACCGCAGCACGGCGGCGTGGCGCCCGACACTCCCCGACGCATGTGTTCATGCTGAAATTGCCGTTATTAATAACGTTCAGTTGCCGAAGTCAGTCGCCAGGTCGCTTTTTTATATACATGTGTGGCGATAAATATAGTTGAGCTCGTATTTATATGTGGATCATTCCGTAAACAAAACTTTAAATTTTAAATGTGCAATTTTCACTACTCATAAATGTTGGAAGATTTTCAAGCTTACTCTTCTCTTTAGTTATCGATATGATTAGCGAGGAACTGCGCATTTATACGTCTTGATACCCTTGATAAGAATTTGGAAATTTTTTCAAAAAGTTTTTGAAAGACTTTGTCAGTCTTTACGAGACTGGAATATTGTTAGAGTCATCAAAAGTCTTAGATTTTGAAATCTTTTAGAGTCTTTCATAGTCATTCGAAAAATTTGTGAGACTTAAGAGTTTACAGTCTCTTTAAAATTTTTCCAATGCTTAAAAAAGTAATGCAGTCTTTTTTAACGACATCAAGACTGTACAAGCCTCTGATAATTATGTGTTCATTGAATTTGCGTAAGATGATAATGTTCTACTAACAGTTTTTTAATACATTCAAATGATGCACTATGAAAACAACACATTCATAAATCATCCCACGCATCATCTGCTAATTGTTACAAACCCTTATACAACCCCCTATACAAAGTCATCTGAGCCTAAAGCACTTTTAAGTAACAATAATTCATAAAAAGCGTGAAAAAGCCAGATACACGTGCACTGTATTCGAGGAGCCAACTATATCATACATTCACATACATTCACCAGCAGGACAATGTGACACTCAAATGTGAAAAAGAGGAGAGTATTGAAAAAAAAAAAATATCAATAATAATGTTAATATTAGTAATAGTAATAATAATAAAAATTATTATAATAATAGTGACAAAAGTCAAGCGGAGGAGAGAGTCAGCATTCTTATAGTCGCGTTTATATGCATTTATGTATCGCGATGCAAAGTGTTATAAATATATGCATGTATATACATATATAAACGTTTAGTGCTGGACTTTAAAATAATTTTATTTCTTCTTTTAACAGCAATCATTCTTTTTTTGCGTAAGCCAGTCGTGGAGCCAGTTTAGATGGTTAGTCAAATTTTTCCAAGAAACGAATGGTGAACAGTGGCGACACAAACATTGTTGTTGTGCACTTGCTAATTAAAAATAATTTTATCATGAATTCGTTTTAAAACTCAACCATGGATCATATTATAGTTAGAAACGTGATTTCCGGGTAGGTAGAGAATTCAGTGTGTACCACTTATATGTGCGAAAAATTGAATAACCGTGTAATGCGGCTTCATAGGCGTCACCTACTGAATTCCGATCGTGAGACCAATAAAACCTGTTGTGATTGATAAAAGTTATATAAATGATGGAGAAAAAAGTACTTCCAACAGGATTTTAAAAGATTTTGAGTGAATGGTTTGAAAAATTCGATTGGCGGTAAAGTTTGTAATATATTCGCTATTGATTGAACACATTTTGGTTTATTTAAAAACTTTTAGTCATTTAATAAATTCAATAGTAATTTTTAGCCTAATTCTATTCCAGAGACATTAGTAAGGATTGCTCGTCATTAATTGTTTTTTTGCAATCAATTGTTTTTCTGTTTTTTTAAAGAACGGATTTTAATACTCATTGTTAGTTTAAAAGGAATAACAGAATTATACTCACGCACAATGTTAAGATATTTAACAAACTTAAAAAAAAAAAAAAAAGTTCACAGAAAATTAAAAAAAAAAATATGGTGATATTCTTAATGAACATCACTCTATTATTCAAAGTCCCAAGAGCTTGAAAATAACAGGTTAAATTAATGGCTTCCGCAATTTTGTGGTAAAAGTGGTTTACACGCCCAACGTTTTAACGATAATTTTCACAGATAGAGTCACCTGCTCTAATGGTTATTACTATATTACAGCTGCTGACTTGTTTAATAATAACGTGTGTTTATCCACAAGATGCTAAATTCTTTTATAACATGTTATATTCAAGTAGTACCGTGAAATCGTTACGATATCAGATATTATATTTGAGCTAATGTCAACGTAATAATTACAGTAAGCATATTTTCTTTTATGAAACGCTTACGCATTCTAGAAATAATAACTTTACTATCAGTCTCGATTGGACTTTTCTTGAATTTTCAATTGTTGCTTTGTATATTATTTATTTATTTTACAGTCTTATTTGTAGCTTGACCTCTTTTTAGTAAAGCCTTACGAAAGGTCACAGATAGCAGCATGTCCTGCTTGATGAATTGGAGCCAGTACGCGCTACCGTTGAGTGTGGACAGCTTTCTAGCCTTGTCCCATTTGATTTCCGTAGGGCCTTCAATTTACTTAATAATGATAGCGATATTTCTTTTTTAGTGGTTCTCTGCCTACCTTTCCAACTGCAAAAAAGCTTATTCTAGCTATACCAATTTCTTCTGGTGTATCCCAGAGTAGGTGGGTCTTGATCCCTTGATATTTTCTGTTAACATCAATGACTTTCATTACCGACTGACTTATTCTTTTTATGTCCTTTTTGCTAACGACTAAAAATTTTTATTTCCTTTGCTAAATCTGATACTCCTAGATTGGTTGGGTGGTTTAACTGGAATATTGCCCTCATTGAAAGCTGGTCTGTTGAACGGCCTTTATATCAATCCCGATACGATCGAAAATAATAATCATCCAACTTTTCAATTAGTAAGTTGAGACATCACTATACCTCGAATGCCTGCGTAATGTTCGTATTTGGGAGCATCCCACGTAGCTTGCACGAAACGCCTTACTACCTTCAGCTCAGATAGCCCAGTCCTAGGTCTCGTCAAGAGTACTGCACAGACTTCCATGCATACTCTATAATCACCTTTAGCTGTTCTCTTTTTTTGTCTTCGCATTCGCTTCTACTATCTCCGCCTAGAACCGCGGCCCCTACATCTATAAAATAACTCCATTTCTATCGCTTGTGCCGCTCTCCTTACTGTCTTACCTCCTTCTATTCTTATGTCTCCAGTCAGTCTTCCCCCTACCCCCTAGAAAATCTTGTCACTGAAGATAGTAATCACTCTACTCACACATAAATTAGAGCTTTTTGTTTAAGTAATGTGCTAGTATATTGGTTACTCGTCTAACAGTGAATAATACCATTCCAATTTATTAAAAATATTTTAAAATAAGAAAGCTCAATTTCATCATGCCTTTATATTATAATTTCTGCGATGTAAATTTTAAGGCCCTGCATTAGAACCAGTAACTTGATCCCTTTGAAAACAAGACCTCATGTTAAACTTTATCTATATCTATACCAAAATTTTTTTAGTGAAGGCAATGAATCATTTTTTTACTGAATAAAATAAATTCTACGATTGCTCACAGTATTTCATTATAAAAAGTAAATCGACATACATGCATTTCAAAATATTTGAGAAAAGCTAGAACTTGCAAGCGAAATCGAACGTTAAAGTTCACATACACATATTTGTTATGCACAGAATTATCATGCTTGTCAGTCAGACACATGATGGGGATTCTGATGTATATCTTTATTGCCTACAAGTAATTATAATGTAACATGCGCACACGAGCGAGAGGCTGCATTACTTGGATACCACAAAAAGTGTTTCTTGATTAAGAAAAGTGTACTGTTTTTTACACTGATTTTAGTTTGATTTCATTTGACAAGCGAAAAAAATCAAGGTGGTCATGTAAGTGGGTATTATTGTTCAGGCGAGAAAATGCATACTTCAGATAACGGATGCCAATGTCTTTTTTATTGCATCTTTAGTTCATAGCGCAAAGTAATTCATTAAAAATGGATTTTGAAAGCGTGAGAAAAATTTATTGAAAATTATCAGTAATGGCATAAGAATTTTAATAGAGATTAAGTTGACTTACTCAAAAAAGATTTCAACGTGATGTATTTTTGCATAATGTCCATTTAGAAACTTACCTGAAACAAAAGAGAACAAAATTAGTCATGAATTGAAAATTGGGCACATTTTCTTAAGTTTAGTTATTTCTAAGAAATTAAAGTCTAGCTAAAACTAGGTGTATCTATTTAAAAATAAATCATTTAATATTTTGGTACAGTACGACTCATATTGCTCCCATTTAAAAATGTGATTCTGCACGAGAGCTCAAATAAAAAAAAACTATACAAAGCATTAAACTCGCGCAGTAGCAGCACTTTCAGCAGCTGAGTCTTATATATTTATGAGTCACACGTGTTGTTAGCGCTTGAAGTCAAATCATAGCTACTTAGATCGTGATTGCAATGGGGAGAGAAAAAAGAGTCAGGTAACAGCACCCTAGCAAAGGCAGCCAATCTCGATCAACTTTATAACGCCTGGGCGCGCTGTATGAGGCTCGGAAAACCGGTAGACGTTATAGCGTGCTTGGTCACAACATATTTTCCAGAGCGACCTTGCCACCAGCACCGACGCCGGTAACTCCATACTCTGGCACACTGTGCAGTGGCAGTGTATGTACATGTGCAAGTGCATATTTTTACAGGAATCAAAGAAATAGTTTCACGGAGAAAATAATTATTGGCTAGTTTAGTTGGCTGCGACTATACTACAGTGCTTTGTTTAGTCTGGGTGTCTGTGCCTATAGCCTCCGTATGAATGAATACCTGTGAGAACTTAATATAAAACTTGGTTTAACGTACAAGCGTATGTAATATTTAATTTTCCTCATCGATAAATTGCTAAAATATCACGGCATTTTTTTGGCTATCATGCTTTTTTTTAAGTTAATAAGCTTACTGCTTTGAATTTTTATCAGTGGATTTTATTTATGTTCGTAACGAGTGAACGTATTAGTACACTTAGTTAGCACTGGAAATGTTCTTTCGGTAAATTTTTTTGCAAGGTAAATTAAGTTCCAGAAAAATTGCGGAAATAATTATAAGCTAGGATTCAACATAATATGTATCTAAGGATTAAACATTTTGACGCTTTGAAAAATTTTTAGTCTCAGTTTTATAATACGAGGAGCGATACATGTAGTCAAAAAAAGTTTTTTCCTTCTTATCTGCACGGGTTAAAGTATAATAGAAAGCTTGCTTATAAAAAAGCTTTAGTAGTAGTGTAAGATTACAAGTACTCTTAACTGAAATTATTTTGATCAATCCAAAGTAAATAACTCAATACTAACCAAGATCACACGTGACCAAGCACTCAATAATTAATGCCCCATTCATGGACAGTTCCATTTACCGCCATCAAAGGAGCTCGTGCATGCATACTTATATTACGCGCATATGCACACACAAGATTAAACTCGTAGAGTTCAGCGAAAGTTTAACAAATTTTCTCGATAGCGCGAGTCAAATCAGTATCGATATTATTCAACTATACAGCAAAAGGAGAGACAATCAGCCCGAGACTCACAGATATGTATATGATTACATGCATGTTGTTAGTACGTGTACCTCCTCTCAGCAAAACTATGTGAAAGGAGGCAGTATATCTATCAGACCCCTGTCAAGGTACTCTTACAGGTTTGTACATACACTCCTCTATATTTGAGTATATCGTACGTGCAAGTCCACGCGGACCCGCAAATTGCCTTTCTAGTAAATATTACGTCACAGAACCTATACATTTTAAATATACATATACATATATATATATAATCTATTTTGTATTTTGTGTATTTCACTTTTGATTACTTTCGATATTAAATTTTTTTATACAAGTAAATAATTTAAAATATTTAAGGTGAATTTCTAGGTCGATAACTTTTCATGTTTCCTCGGAATCTTTTAAAGTTTACAAAATTTTTTGTACAAATAAGGATTTATTAAATAAATATTTTTAGCATCCTCATCCTCTTAAATAACTTTTCAAAACCATTCAAATAAATATATTCTTATTAAAATAAAATTTTTCTTAAATAACTATTAAAAATTAGTCAAATCTGGAAAAAACTCGTTGCACTATCAGTTTTCTGTCACTGATTAAAAAATAAAAAAATTATGTTGTAAATGGTTTTCCAAAGAAACCATGATTGCTATTTCATAATCTAATCTGACTAAATAAAATATTCAATAATCTTGCACGCAAAAAAATGTTATTAATGTATTTTTTTTAAAACAATTTGTATTGCATAAGAACGATTTTGGTTAGGTATAAATGTTGATAATAATCGTAAAGAACTTTTAAAGTTTTATACAAATTTCGCGTTTTATGAAAACAGAATGCAACATGATCCTTATAAATCGGTTTTCGTGTGTGGATCGTAAACAGAGCACTGACTCTCTGCAATCGCATTTTACATTTAAAGGACGGGATCTTGCCTCGTCGAAAAAGACAGAGGTGGAGGGAAAATTGACTGCAAGGCTCAGCAGCCGAAAGGGATGAATACAACGGAGTATAATCGCTGAAAGAATGCACCACTAATTAACTGAGTGAATTCGCAGAGGCAAGGTCGGTTGCATACGTTCACTTCCTTTTTACTTCTTTTTCAATTCTTGAATATACGAAAAACTGAATTAATCGTATGTGTGAGTGAAACCTTCCCATTAATTCTAGTTTGTCTGATTTCCTGAATGTAATCTCAAAAATTAAAATATCATGTGTCATTTACCCCGAGTTGGTAAGAACTTTTCGAAAGTGATGAACAAATAATAAAGGATGATTCGAATGAGAACAGAAGCATTCGAAAGTGATTCTTTTAAGGTATCTGTGACGTATCTCATATCGAGTTAAGCTTCTTCTTGCTGAAAACCTAAATATTAAAATTTTGATATTTGTTTAAACATTAAAAACATCATTGTATTGGCCAGTTTCATGTATAGTGTTTATGCGGCAATTTTTTTCATCAACGTTTGCAAGGGCACAGACTGCAGTAAAAAAATCATGAAATTTAAAAAATAGTTTCCGTACTTAGTGGCGCATGTCTCCAGAGGAAGCACCAGGTTCGAGGGACCTCTTGTGTTTGCCCTGATTATATGTGTAGCAGGTGCGAACCCTATTTGTCCTACCGAAGGAACACCCGACCTTAAAAACGCCCAAGGTAGAAAAATTACATTATCTCTCAAAGACAGTTAGCGGATTAACAAGGATAAGATTACTGAAAAAAAAGGAATTAAGTGTGAACTATCGCACTTGTGCTCATAGTTAAAGTATTTAAACAAATTGTGGAAAATATAAGAATTAATCCAAACACAGTGATTGAAGCATCGTATTTTATCGAATACTGTTAAAATCACAAAAATGGAATGTTGTGCTATCACGTATGTATCTTAATATGAGTTCTTTTTGGCAAAGTGGCATGTTCATTGAATAGAAAAATGAAAAAATGTTATTTCGTTACTATAAAATTATATGTACTCTGATGGGATCAGCAAAATCTAACAAAATAAATTCGTGTTTAATTATTAATTTTTACAACTATAACAGTAGTACCAATAATTTATATCACGTAAAGTACATCCAATATAAAAAGTATGTAAAATTTAAAAAAGTACCACCAGTTCATCCAGCAATTTTTCAACATCGTTT